AGAGAGAGAGAGAGAGAGAGAGAGAGAGAAAGAGAGAGACAGCAAGCGGGAGAGGGTCAGAGGGAGAGGAGGAGAGAGAGAATCTTCAGTAGGCTCCACACCCAGCACAGAGCCCAACATGAGGCTTGATCTCAGGACTGTGAGATCATGACCTTTGCTGAAATGGAGAGTCAGCCGCTTAACTGAGCCACTGAAGCACCCCAACTTTTTCTAGTTTCTTAAGGTATTGGTTTGAGAGTTTTCTCCTTTTCTAATATAGGTGTTCTAGTGATCTAGGCCTTTGAGTACTTCTTTAGCCAAATCTCACTGATTGTGACATGCCGTGTTTTTATTTTCATTTGGTGCAAACTATTTTGAAACTTTCCATTTGAGTTTTTTCTTCAACCACAGGCTATTTCTGAGTTACCAGTATATTAAAAGTGGTTGTCTTCTTGCTGGAATTGCGTGTAATGTTTTTCACCTATATACATTTATGTTTTTACTTTGTTCTTTCTGGAACTTTGTGCAAGTTTTCCAGGTTTCTACATTAAGTATGCATTGCTTTTCTAAGACGAAAACAATTAATATAAAATGACACTCTACGTTTTGTAGTACTTCTTCATTCACAGAGTTTCATTTACTCCTCCAACCTCCGCTTGAGAAGCAGATAATCTGTGTCCCACAGGTGTGGAAAACAGATTGGCAGGTTTTTCCATTCTAATTTTTTATTTTTTTTAAGACTGATAGTTTCAGTGACTTGCTCAATGCCACACAGGTAGAGTTGGTTTAGAATTCAAACCCGGATTTTCTGACTCTCCCAGCTCATTCTTCCGAAGAAGTTGGAAACAAAGATTTGAAAAGTAAATTGGAATTTATTTTTGGGTGGTTGGAAAAAAAATCATTGAGGGTCTTGAGTGAGTGGCTTGAGACAATGATCTTAGTGTAGCTTTTTTTTTTTTTTAATGTTTATTCATTTTTGAGAGAGAGCGTGAGCGGGGGATAGACAGAGAGGGGGACTCGAGGACTCCAAGCGGGCTCTGTGCTGACAGCAGTGAGCCCCATGTGGGGCTCGAACTCATGAGTTGTGAGATCGTGACCTGAGCTGAAGTCCGACATTCAACTTAGTGAACCATCCAGGCGCCCCTTTCAGTGTAGTATTAATCTGAATCTCTGATTTCTAGTGAGGTTGAACATCTTTTCCTGTTTATTGCCTGTTCCCATTTCTTCTTCCCCCAAATTGTTATTCATGTCTCAAGTAAATAGATCATCTTTCTACTGGATTGGTTGGTCCTTTACTTATTAATTTAAATGATCAAAAGTTCCCGATACTCATAGTTTATTTGTTGGAAAGATCTTCTCCCAGTTTCTTGCTCATCTGCTTTTTCTTTATTCAATTTGCTCATCAGCGAAATGTGTACTGGAGAGTGAGGGAAACTAATGTGTTTGCTACAAGAAGAGTCTTGGTTTGTTTTGACCTTGTGTGTTGGGAAGCAGGAGATAAACGAGGATGGGATTCGGTGAATCACATGTTTGGAGACTCATTTACCAGTCAGTTGTTAACTGATTACATTTATTGGCCCCAGCGTAGTAGGCCATGTGATAGAAAGCAAAGAATAAATGTTGCCTGCTTTTTTGAAAAAAAAATTTTAATGTTTATTTTTGAGAGAGAGAGAGCATGAACAAGGGAGGGGCAGAGAGAGAGGGAGACACAGAATCTGAAGCAGGCTTCAAGCTCTGAGCTGTCAGCACAGAGTCCAACGCTGGACTCCAACTCAGGAGCCACAAGATCGTGACCCAAGCTGAAGTCGGATGCTTAACCGACTGAGCCACCCAGGCGCCCCAAATGTTGCCTGCTTTTGAGGAGCTTTTACTTTGATGGAGAAATAAGACCTGTAAAGTAATACAAGAAACTGTGGCACAAGACAGGCTGTGGCTATGAAAATTTCTTTTCATCAAAGGGGAAGGGGACATTACTTTGGAGCAAATGGGGAGTTGTTTACATAAGAAACAGTCTTTGAGTTGAATGAGAGCAAAGACTACGGATATTCTTGCTCACCATTTTATCCCCAGCAGTTAGCAGAATGCCTGACAATAAGTGTCCAGGGCGCCTGGGTGGCTCAGTCGGTTAAGCGTCCGACTTTGGCTCAGGTCATGATCTCGTGGTCTGTGAGTTCAAGCCCCACATCAGGTTCTTTGCTGTCAGCAAAGAGTCTGCTTCGGCTTCTCTCTCTGTCTGTCCCCCTCTCTCTCTGCCCCTCCCCCGATTGTGTTCTCTCTCTCTCTCAAAATAAATAAATTAATTAATTAAAAAAAGAGTAAGTGTAAAATACTTGGTTAATAATTGAATGATATTAGCATGCATGGGCAAAAGCCATTTATAGGAACTTAACACAGTGCTTTTCATTCATTACTCCTACACCACCACCGGGCAGCTCTGAGAAAGAGAGATCAGCATTTCAGATCTTAGCTTGCATTTCCAAAGCAAGGAGCACAACTTCTTCCAAAAGGACACCCAACATGCTCCCTTATCTTACCATTGGAACAGAGCGGTAATCAGGATCTTGGCTTCACTGAGGCAAACCTGGGTTTGACTCTCATGTCAATTACTTGCTGGTTAGAGGACCCTTGATTTCCCTCATCTATGAAATGAGATTAATGGTAGTGCCTACTTTGTTCGATCATCGTAGGATCAATTAAGCAAAGCATGTAGAACACGGAGCTCCTAGAAGGGCTTCTAGAAATATCCCCTATGCCTCTTCTCTTGAAGTACCCTAAAACAGATGGAAAGTGTGATTGCCGTTGGATTTTATGACTTTGTCTGTGGTTTCTAACTGCCCTATTCTCCATCTCCTTCCTCACAGATTCAGAGACATATTGTGTGTTTCAAGACAAGAAGTACAGAGTGGGTGAGAGATGGCATCCTTACCTGGAACCCTATGGGTTGGTTTACTGTGTGAACTGCATCTGCTCAGAGGTACAATCCTTCCCAGCATATGATTACCCAGTTTGCTCCTCAGACATACTTCCTTTGCCTGAATGGCCGGGAAGCATGGGCGGTAAAAGCCAAACAAACATCTGACTTTTTCATCTTGTTGCCTTTTGGCTTGTTGCCTTTGGGATCCCTGAGTATTTGCTTGGGACACATATTTATAGTCTCTTAGCCAAATGATATGGGACATGGTGGGAGAAGGTAGAAGAGTTTGATTCCTGGGAATGGGGAAGCAAAGCTCAATTAGAATACCTGGATTGTAAGACAAAACCGTTTTCGAAGATCATGTTCAAGGCTGGCCTTTAGAGAAAAGATGAGGACAGGTTATACACTGGTTCCTTGGGAGAGTGTATTTTTTGTTGTCTCCACCAGAAACTATAATTAGGATCGAGGCTGTGAAACCTTGGCCTGTACCTGCTGATGATTGGAGTTCTTTTGGCGTGGCCTTGGCTCCTGACCAATCATTCAGAGAGGTGTTTGGATACGTTAAATGCCATCTTTGCAATAGACAAAACAGGCAGTATCTTCTTCTTTCCGTGGCCTTGACCCAGGGCCACAGGTGTGGTCCATCTTTCTGGATAAGCTTCTACCATCACATAGTAGGTCAGGGTTTCTCAATCTCTACACTATTGACATTTCGGTACAGATATTTCCTTGTTGTAGGGCCCATCCCGGACTGTGTAGGATGTTTAGCAGTGTCCCTGGCCTCTACCCACTAGACACCAATAGCACCAATCCCAGTTATGACAACCAAAAATGTCTCAAGATATGGCCAGAGTTGCTTGGGGAGCAAAATGACCCCTGGTGGGGACCACTGCACTAGGCCAATTGGGAAAGGAAGCCTTGTACCAGGCCTTGAGAATAGAGAACTCTGAGCAGATGGAAAGAATTTTCAAGACCAGCCTCTCACGTGAGACCTTGTGGAAGGACTGTATCTCCTCCCAAGTGCCCAGGTAGAACAGAAGCAGTCACTTGCAAGCCAGATTCTTTTGCCATTTAAACAGAAATTTGGACTTCTAGAATCTTAGGGATGTGAAAATCTAAACTTGGGGCAGTAGGAGGTAATGTTAAGAGGCTACCGGGCTCCGGGGTCAAGACAGACCATGTTTCCAATCCAGGCTCTGCCACCTGTGAGCCGTGTTATGTTGGACAAGTTACCTAACCTCTCTGCGATCCCTTCAGCTTCTTTTTCTTTAAAATGGGATCATGATACTATGTATTTCATATGGGTGTGGTAAGGATTAAATTCACTAATACATTTCAGTTACAACAGTGCTTGGTCACAGCATTCAAGAGACATCAGCTGCTGTCATCGTCATCGTCATCATCACTATCACTATGACTGTTATTTTTGTTAATCTATTAACTCTAGAACAGAATTCAGTTCAGTGCATTAAGGAAGCATCAGCATAGGCCTCAGCCAGAAGGAGTGGTTTCTGATGTGCTTTGGTGATTTCAGTTCAAGATGATACCACCTGGCTCTGAGGAGTGTGGCACAAAAGGAGGCTCTGTGGTGTTTCCAAATGCAACACTCCAAAAATTTGTTCTAGAAAGTCCATGAGAAAAGAAAAAGGTTTCTGGTAAGGTCATTTGGATTTGGATCAAAGAAGCCTGCCTCTTTAAATGGCCAGGGCAGGTATCAAATAGGGCATCTGGGGACTGATTAACTGCCTGGTATGACAAGATTGTGTCAGATTCTTGACCCAACACATTGGAAATGGACAGCTAACCCTTGGGGGCTGAGCTTTGCTGTCTGCAGGGCAGGGAAAATGTTAATATGATCCCAAAGCCAACAGCTCAAGGGCTGGCATCTTCTCTTTCCACATCCTCTTTGTCACCCTCTTCCCCCACAAGAGCGTGATAGATGCAAGTAACCCTTGCTTGGAATGAATTATGGATGGAAATATGCTAATGCCCAATTGATTTCCAAAGGCCTCCCATGATCTAGCGATGGCTGAGAGCTGTCAGAGCTAGGGATCTTGTCATTGTAAATTGGGCAGGGACCCAGTCACCGCCCTCCCCCTTCCCCCTGCCCCCGCCACCAGGCACACTAGGTAATCCTCTCAATTCCAAAGCCTAGCTTGTTCTCCGAAAACTTAGACTGAAACAGGAAAGGCGGAGAGGAGGCATTCAGCCTGCTGGACCCAGGCAGTGTTACGTGGAATCCAGGACCCATGTGTCAGGGATGTCTCCATGCCCAGGGGTGGGTAGCAGCTAAGGGGGACCCATCACTGGTTATCCCTTCCCTCCGGTGGTATTGAGCAGGTGATCGTGTAATTAGACTAGGCTCTTGTGGATGTGCAGCTGGAGCCAGAAAGGCTAGAAACACCACAAAGCCAGGCCAGGAGGAGCTTTTGTCCGCAGTTGGCGGGAGGCTTTGAAAACGAGAGCAGTGGTGACCCCAGCTTCAGAAAGATATGCCAGCCAGCTATCCACCAACCCAGCAGACGTGCTAGTGATGAGAAAAGGGAAGAAAATGCTGATTTCATTCAGCTCCTTGGGAATGCGTCATTCGCTGTCTGGGTGAGTCTCTGCGTGCCTGTTTCCCAGACTGGCATGACCACAGGTGACCTTTGAAAGACATTCATTTTTTTTCTCGTGGTTGCCTCCTCTCTTTCAGAATGGGAATGTGCTTTGCAGCCGAGTCAGATGTCCAAGCCTTCACTGTGTCTCCCCTGTGCATATTCCACATCTGTGCTGCCCGCGCTGCCCAGGTAAAACCAGATCGCCTCTCTCTTTCCCCGATGTGGTTCTCCTTCCTCCCTCTTCCACCCAACCCACTCCATCTGCCTAATTCCCCAGAAGGGAAACTTCCAGACAGAAATAACAATAGGACGCTTTTAGGCAGGCCATGCTGGCCCCTAAATGCTGTTTATAGCCCAAGCGGGGCCCATTCTAAGCTCTAATAAGTTATTGGGTACCCAGTAACAGATTTTCATTGGGCTTTTAATCATTTGAAGGTGGATGTCAGTTGGGGGAAGGGAATTGTGGCCCAGAGAGTTCGTGCCATAAACAGCCTCTTCCTGCCATGGGCAGCAGGCACCAGGGGAATTGTAGCATGGCGGCACGTGTCTCAAGCAATTAGTGCTGGGATTGCATAAATCAAAGGAGCTGAACCAGTGAGGTTTATGACAGTATAAAGCTGCCTGCCTGCTGAATAGTCACCTCCTCCAGACTGCACAGTTATTATGTACACATTGTTAAGAGCAAATCTAAGGGGGAGGCGGGCAGAGACTTTCACAAGGCCGTTAGAACCGTCTACTTTGATGGTTTGCGGCTAGGGTGTTTGTCTGAGGCAGCGGCTCCCTCAATGACACTTTGTTCACGTCTGACTGGGGCCTGGCTCCCACACCAGAGGCATGCAGGCGTGGAATGATTAAGAGAATGCTGTGGGCCGGACAGCAGGCCTAGGAAAAGCTAAGTGATGGCCTTGGGATCTGGGCAGTAGAAGCCTTGTGGTCCTGTAAATTGATCTTTTTTTCCTCTAGGATGGAGGTTCTCGAGGTGGAGTCCGTGGGTGGGCTTTATGGGGTCAGTGAACCCTCTAAAACGGTTTCATTTTTGGTGTAACTATGTCTACATGTAAACTCCTTTAGAGACCATCCATAATCTTACTGGTATTTGTAAAGGGGGTGTACGTGACCCTACGAACACGAAGGACCACTAGTCTAGGGCGTAGGTGGTGCTTTTTTAAAGTAGTAAAGAATCTCCAGAACTTAAAAGAGAGGAACCCAAAGTGTCAGGGCAGCAATGGTAGGAATGGGGCTAGGAATAAGGTTCAATGAAAATGCAGTTAACATTTCAGTTATAAGGATGGAGGTGTTTAATGGAGAAGAAGCCCCCAAACCCTCTCGGTCACCCCCTTTGTGAACTACACTTTCCTGGATCAGAAAATACACGCTGATGAACACAGGGACTTCTTTCCCCCGTGGCAAAAGATCATGCCATGTCATACACTTATCATTCTGAGTATTGATGATGACAGTATGTGCTTCAAGATGTAAGAGACTGACCTGGCGGAAGATCTACCTGCAAGTTGGTTTTTGTAATAAATCCCTAAATGAGGCTTACAGGTTTGATATTTCTTTCTTTGCTGCTTCTACTGAAACTGGATTACAAAGGAGAGGTTTGGTAGGTGGGAGAAAAATTTCCCATTAAAAAGGCCAACCTGGAGATTTTTTTCCACTTTGTTTTCCACCGGAAGCCTCCAAAAGTGGTCTCATGCCATAGGAATGTATCGAAGCTATGTAGACATTGTTCTTCCCTGGGAGGGAGGTTGAGGCATGACCCAGATACAAAACACAGGGCCGAAGACGGTAGAGTGCAATATGGCTATCACCTACCCCAGCTGCAGAATAGGAAGCAAGTATTGCGAAAAAGCAAAGTATAAGCCAGCAGTTCCTTTGGGAGAAAAGACAAGTTTTAAAGGAATCGAGGCCATCAATACCAGAAAAGAGAAATTTGTCTTTAAGGCTTATTTAACAGTTCTTTCTGTGGGAGGTAGTACGAAGGTTCCCCAATCCTTATATGCAAAAATGTCTTTATTTTGCCCTCATCCTTGAACGATAATTTGGCTGGCTAAAAAATTTTCCTCAACGCTTTGAAGATACTAATAAATGGTCTGTTGACTTCCTTCCTTTGGGGATAACAAGTATGGTGTTGGACTGTAGTTCTTTTCTAGACAACCTGTTTTCTCCTTCTTCCAGCTTTTAAGATTTCCTCTTTTTCTTTGAGGCACGTGACGAACGGTGTAGATGCGTGATTTATTTTTCTTTAGCCTGCTCAGTCCATCATTTTTTCAGCCAAAAGACGCAAGTTTCTCTTCAATTTTTACTCATGGTTTTTCTGAACGTTACATCTTACCCTTCTTTTTTCCTCGTTCTCAAAGTTGCCTTTGACATATGTTTTTGCAGCTCATTTAATTTATCCTCTATCTCTTCATGTTCTTTTCTTTTTTCTGTCTTGGCATACTCCCCGTAATGATATATTACTTCGGTTCTGTCCTCCAATTCGTGAATTCTTTCTCAGGCCTTTTCATGCCTACTATTCAGGCCATCTGTTGGGTTCTGTTTGTTCTTTTATTTTCAATAACTGTATTTCCCCCTAAGTTTTTGAACTACATTTTAAAATATCTACATATTGCTGTTTTATAAACCCTCGTTATTATTTCTTGGGACCTTATTCTTTATTTCTTTAATGCATTTAAATGTTTATTTAGGGTCCATTTTAGATAGGTTAAATGTTTGTATTTTTTCCTGGTGAGAATTCTCAGTTGTACTGGGTTTCTTGACGGCTTTTCTTAGATCTGAATTTCCCCTTGTTTTCTAAAATGTTTGTTTGCTTGTTTGTTTGGATAAGGCCTTCCTTCCTGATGGAAAGATTGTTCCAGGCCACACAGTTCACTTAGCTCTGAACCAGGTGTTTACATTAGTGTTTACACTAGTGTTTACATTAGTGTTTCAGCTTGGGCTCCCTTATGCCTGGATGGTCTATTTCGACCTCTGTTTTCTTGTGCAGTGCTAGTCCCTGATAATGATCTGGTACTGTGACCTCAGCTACAGCTGCCTACCTTGGGAGAGCCGCCTCAGGTGGGCAGAGCTATGTCCATCCCTGTTTACATGTGAGGAGTGGGGCCCTAGTCTCCACCTTTACATGAGAAGCCACTTGGAGGCCATAGTTCTTGCCCGGCTGTCTGGTCCCAACTGTCTGTATCCAGTCTCAGCTGCCATATGGACCATACGGCTTTGGCCCCCTCCCTTTATTGCTGTACTTTTGTTCTATGTTTTATTCCACAAGGAGTCTTGTTTTTGTTTCTGGGCATGATTTTGCAGTTTCAAAGTTTTTATTTATTGGGGCACCTGGGTGGCTCAGTCAGTTAAGCATCCAACTTCGGCTTGGGTCATGATCTCAAGGTTTGTGGGTTCTCAAGGTTCAAGATCAAGGTTCATGATCTCAAGGTTCTCTGTGCTGACAGCTCAGGGCCCAGAGTCTGCTTCGGATTCTGTGTCTCCCTCTCCCTCTCTCTCTCTGCCCCTCTCCTGCTCGCGCCCTGTCTCCCTCTCTCTCTCAAAAATAAATATTTAAAAACCTTTTTTAACTTTTTATTTATTTATTTGTTTACTTACTCCCTCATTTATTTGCTCATTTTTCTTTATTGTTAGTTTTACATTTCATCCCTCACTCTTTGGTGGGAAAAGAGCAGGGAGTTCTCTCCTGTGCTCTCTGGGCCATATTGAACAGGAATGCAGACCACCTCTTCTTGCTATTGAAGATCAAACAAGAGTGAACAGGTTTAATTAAACCATAGCAGAGAAGAATGGAGTTTGATAAAGGGATGAACTTTGGGACACGGTGGCTGTTAAATCCCAGAATAAATGACTAAGGAGAATTTCCGTCTCTTTACAGCATATTTCTGTAAGTAAAAAGGTACCCACCCATCTGAGATAAAGTTGTCACTGTTCTGCTTTGAGACGGGGCACTGGCTGTGATGACTCCTCTGTATTCCTTCCGCCCCAGTGATTATTAGGCATGAGGAAACTCCTGCCTTCAGGGCCACAGGAATGTTTGGTCAAAGGAGGGGGCTCTAATTTTCTGTCTTAACCCAATGGAAGGCACTGTGATGAAAATGTTTTCATTGCAAAGTAGAAGATTTATAGGCCAGGATGATGAACAAGTTCTGTATCAAAACGAGAAAACAAATGAGGAAGCTATATACCCAAGGTTTGGCCTTGCATACCATTCTGTAGCCCTGTTGACTAGGGACGTTCATATGGTTGGAGATGGATTCAGTGGGAGGGTCCTGCTAGATACGCCTGGAGCTCATCTTCCGTTGGAGAAGACACAAGAGCCTTCGCCCCCCATTTGTTTCTCTGTTCACCCTGGTTCTTGCTCTCCAAACTCCCTACCCCGGAAATTTCCGAGGTTCCCACCTGTATTTGGGGTTGTCTCCTGCAGTTCCTGTTGAACTGTGGCAATCAAAGTACGCACACTGCTTTTCCAGAATTACCTGAGAGAAATCTATATTGATTCCCATGAAGAGAAAATGAAAATTTTTTTTCATCAGGGCTTCCCCAAGTATCTGGGGCAGAGAGGTCAGGTCTTTCTTTTTTTTTTTTTTTAGACTTATTTATTTTGAGAGAGAGAGTGAGCAGGGGAGGGGCAGAGAGAAAGAGAGAAGGAGAGAGAGAATCCCAAGCAGGCTCCACAGTGTCAGCGCAGAGCCCGACTCAGGGCTCAGTCTCATGAACCACGAGATCATGACCTGAGCCGAAATCAAGAGTCAGACGCTTAACGCACAGAGCCACCCAGGTGCCTCAAATTTAGAACATTCTTAATGACAAAGTGAAGGCTGCACAGAAGTCAGAAGGGTCACTAAATCCATCCCAGTCAATAAGCAGGACTCTCATAGTCCATGATATTGAGAGATTTATAGGAACAAAATTCCAGATCTCTTTTGGTGAAGTGGAGTGGTAAAGGGGGGAGGAAGAGAGAAAGGACAGGGCTCCTTTCATTTTGTTCTTTATATATAATTTTATCATGAAAAGAAAACTTTTATAGGGACCAGGAGTCTAAATCATGATACTATCTACAATTGTTTTAATGGCTAATCTTAATTAATTCGCTACTCAGAATTCAGAAATTTGGGTTCCTGTTGGGGTTTTCTAGCATCCGTGGGTCATTAAAGAGCTGTTATAAAATTGCCAACATACCTGAT